TCCTGATGCTGGAGAGCTTAACATCTGTTTCCTCCAATTTTTTTTATTTTTTTTTCAGTGTTAGAACACGGTAGCGGAAGAAGCGGTGGGATTTTCTTTCCTCTTTCTCTTTTGTATAGCGAGAGGCGCTGCATGCTGGGGCTTCATACGCTCTCCGAGAGCAGACAGGTTTTTCTCAAGGGCTGTATGATCGTTTGTTCTCTATTTTCTCTCCTTCCTGCCTCCCCCTGCCCCTCCTGGAGAGGAGCGGATACACCGAAGCCCAGGCAGGACTTCCTTAGCTCAGCCGTGCCTTCTGGCAGGCTGCGCCGCGTGCCCTCTCCCTGTCACCCCCCTTCCCCGGCAAACAATGGCCAAAGGCTCCTTCTTGTTTGTGATTTTATATCCCGCAGAGGAAGAGCCGAGTGGAAACTCGTGTCCTCAGGGGCCCTTGGTGCATTCCAGCTCCGGCTGCCGCCTTGCCGGAGCGCTGCTGGCGCCTCTGCTGCGCCGTCCCCAACCCGGCAGCACCGCGGGATGGGTGGCCAGTGGGTTTCGAAGCACATTTAGCTTGAAACACCGGTTTTTGGTGTCTTTTTTCTTTTTTTTTTTCTAGGTGGGGGACAGCTTTACAGCACTGAACAGTAAAACCAAAACCAAACACCCCCCCCTTCTGCTGGTTGACAAGTAACTGTTATGATCTGGTGTTCGCGTTCACGAAGGACGAGCACGTCTGAAGATTGCCCACAAAAATCGTTGGTTCCTGCATCAAGGCTTGTGACAGCCCCGATTGCCCAGGCCCAATTCAGAGTCCTGTAAATCCCTGCGAAGTGTCAGCCTCGCTGGGCATGTGGTGTTATTTCTGCTCTTGTATTCCTCTGCTAAATTACGCTGAAATGGAAGAAAATTGCTGTTCCTCCCACCTGTATCATGCAAGAAAAGTCTTTGTTGCCAAGGAAATGTTGTGTGATCGGGACCGAGGCACAAAGCACCGAGTTCTTTTTTAGAGATTTGGGTAATGAAAAAAAAAAATAAAGAATTTGGAAGGGTGTCATGGCTCCAGATGTTAGAGTAACACCTGGTACTGTTTGCAAGGGATTTTATGCACATCTAATTCATCTGTCAGCCTTGGTTAGCTGGAGATGAAGGTGAGGTTGGCAATGAAGGTGTGCTGGGTTTGTGGTGAGAACAACAGGGCCTGCTGCACAGGGCTGGGTTTTTGAACCCCCCCTGGCTCCTGTAGGCTGGAGCAGCTTCCAGCGTCTGGTTGATTGCTGTGGCTGAAGTCTCATGCGCTGAGAGCTGCAGCTTAGCTGCTGCCTTGCTGTACAGCCTGACATCTGCCCCTGCTCCTGCAGAAAAGTAAAAAAAAAAAAGGCCAGGGGGCTGACGAACCATTTTGGTTTTCCAGCTGACACACACCCTCAAAAATAAACCCAAAATGCTGTCTTCTAAACCTCCTTTCCCTGTGCCCCAGAAAGATGTGTAAGAGCTAATCGGGTACTTCTGCATCCGTTCTCCATACTCAGATTTTATTTGTCATTAAGGGCCGTAATGCTGCCAAGCCTGTGTGCTTTTTCAAAAATAATAATAATAAAAAAAACCCACCTAGTTTTAATTTTAAAGTCACCCTTGTGCCCTGCCTTTCTAGGTTTTGTTGCTTCTCTGGGGAAGGGCCACTCAATCTGTCTCCTGCTAATGCCTCTCATGGGAAATGGCCTCTCTGTCGTCTTTGCTAGCATCCCTCCAAAGGCTTCGTAGAGAAGCCTGTTTCTTTTGAATCTTCTCCCCTCGTGCAAGATCCAACCAGCCAAAACCAGTAAACTATAAAACTGGAAAGAGAAAAAATAGGGACCTTGTGTCATTCTGGTCTTTTGCTGCCATATATGTTTGTCCACACAACTTGAAACTCCTCAAACGTGGGGTTTGTGGCTGAGATGCTGTTTTACTTCAGCACTGCACATGTCTGGGTACCAGGTGATTTCCCACGAAGCAGGCACTTTCCAAGCCACGCTTAATACAATCTCTTATCACAACAATCCTCTGATTTCCAGCTGGTTACATAGTTAGCATGCCGCTGACATGACAAAATCATGCTGTGGCTCCTCAGACCAGGGGTGTGATTTTTAGTATTGTAATGAGGATGGTTCATGGACGGTTCATATTATAACAATCTTAATGTTTTCCAGCCAGGTGTTTCCAACAGGTTGATTAGTAACAAACTCAAAAGCACGTGTACTGGATTTCTTCCTTACAAAATGGTCTTCTTGATTAAGTATTTTCTTAGTTTTTCATCCTTTCAATATCTTTAAGACCTGGGTCATCTTTGCCCTTGCCTTGAAATACCTATTTAACATCTTTTTTCATGAAACAAAGCTAATGAAACAAAACTAACTAGTTACTGGCATCGTAATTCCCCCCTTTGAGACTTAAGTAGTTTATATTAGGTTACTCTCACCTATCCATCAACCTGGTGCAGCACCTACCTACAGGTGCACCCTATTAGTAGGTATATGCAAACAAAGAACGTTACCACCCTTATTGTTAGGGCTAAAACTTTCTTCATCCCTAATTTCAGATCTAGAAGCCAAGAAGACAACCACTGCACGAGTTCAGAAAGCCCATTAGGGAAGCCGTCAATTCCAAAGGGGTGTTCTGGCTTCAGGGATTCAAAACCACTTCTTGTTTTCTTTCGCCCCCTGGCTTTCTGACTACACTCAACCAATAAAATGTTTTAACGCATTTAATGCTTTTTACCCCCTCATTTTCTAACTTAAAGAAGCTTGCACCTTTACACAGAAAATCTCTATCTCTCTCTATATAACGCAGATCACAATAAGAGATACACTTCAGTTTATACCATCTCAGGCTAGACATTTATAGTCCGTTAACTCTGTTGGTTTTCAATTTCAAAGGCTCTGTTATTCCAGTTTTGCACAGCTGTGGAGGAGCGGCTTTCACTTGGCTGTAACAAATCCACAGGTCGATCCCCCTAAGCTTCACAGCAATATTTGACCTTAACAGTACCAGGTATGGTCCTCAGTTAGGGGTATGCTTCTCAGTTAGGGGTCTTCCCTCCAGGTTCAGGTAAAACTAATCTCCAGGAGAAGAGGAATGAACCGGTGCAGGTAATGGGATTGGTGCTGTTACTAGGATGTATCTGTGGATAAGACTCAAAGTTTTTGCTAAGAGGGAAAGAAAATCTGTAAGTGCTTGGTTCACAGTTACATGCATCTGATCAGGCTTCCCAGCCAAATTCCCAGCAGAAGGCTTCCCGTGCAGTGTTTCAAATGGGCTTGCTTTTTCCTGTGCCCTGGGAGTTACCCAAAGCCTGAGTAACACTGTTGGTAAAACCTGCATCCACTTAACAGTGTCTCCTGGCACAGTTTCCTTATTTGTCCTTCCAATGTTTGATTCATTTTTTCTACCTTGCCCCTAGACTGTGGCCTCCACGGGGTGTGTAACCCCGGGATTACTTCTTCCAGCAGAACCTTACTGCTTTGGTGTCCCCGTTTCCCTGAGCAGTTACCCACCACCCAATCGAATCTTTAACACAGTTTATAAATTCAGCCAGTTTAATTTCCTTGTTGTATTTTCTGAGGTACTTATCGATTCCTTCCTGGTAGGTCATAGATTTATAGTTCCACCTACAGCTGCTTGTATGGCTGCCTCATCTGCTTTTCCATTTTCCTCCTGCAGTGCCTGAATTGCCGCTCTGATGCGCTTTATAACGTATCACTGCTACTTCCTTGGGCTTCTGGACCCCTTCAAGTAGTTTCACAAGCTCATTCCCAGTTTTAATTGGGATGCCTTGTGAGACAACAGTCCCTCCCCTCTCCTCTAAGGCTCCTGTGAAGGCTACTAATAAAGCGTTCTGTGCAGAGGTATTGGATGTCACTGAGTTAAAATAAATAGAGGTAGGAACATCAGCTGATGCTAGTAATTAGTTAATTTTAATGGCGTCAGTAACTAGTTAAAATCAACTAATTCACTAATTAAAACTGGAGGAAAATGCAGAGTTTTTGTGTTGTCAGGTCTGTGTCTCTGGGGCTGTTCCCTTTCTTGGCCCTACTCTTGCTTCCCTTTGTTGTCCTGAGAGTGGGACTGGGAACTGGGGGAATTCAACCCTGGTGGGTACCTGGCACACAGGTCTGTGTGCTGCACAGGTAGACAGCAAGCCCAGGGCCACATCATGAAGCTGTAGCAGTGAGACAGGGCAGGTACACCACGGGAAAGGAAGGCTTATCATCTGCGTGCGTAGGAGTCCAAATTCCCTCAGAGAGCTTGGAGTGGTTACCATTGCTGTTGTATATGGGGTACTTGTGGGTTTCATCCTGTTCACTTAGGCTGAAACTCACTTGATGGGAACGTGTTTTTGTGTAGCGTTGAGCGGTGGCCAAGCAGCTTTCATTTAGCAGTCCAGTTCCACCGAGGGATTCCCATGCTGGTGCCATAGCTGTAGTAGGAAAACCTGGCTTGAATATTCCATGAGGTTTTTTGCTTTTGAATTTATTTCAGAATTACATGATTTCCAGGAAGAGGCTCATCCTGGCTTTGCTTTGAATGTGCCTGCCTTAAGAGAGTGAACTCAGTGGGAGAGCATTGTCGGTTCCTGGCAGATGGGGCGGGGGGACAGGACAGTGACACGCACAGGGACACTTCACTGTAATTTCCTCTTTCTCTCTCTGTCATGTACTCCGATGTGTTGAGAGTAGTGGCAATTTGCAAGACCTACATGTGCTTTACGGTGTTCTGTGTGCACTTTGTGGTAACTTTATTAATGCAGGAAGTTTATTGTGATCACTAAATCTTCAGGCACTTAAATCAGCTTTGAGTTGCTCTATACTTTATCTGGTTTGGGAGCAAAATTCAATCTCATTGAAATCAGTGGCAAAGCTTCCACTGTTGCAGGGATAAGATTGGACTTGTGCTGCATTAACAAATACGTGTTTTGGAAAAAAAAAACAAAAACGACAAAACTTTCTGATCCTAATTTTATTCCTTTGTTCTTTTTTTTAAAGTCTTGTGAAGAAAACAGTCTAAAGACAATTCATGTGTGACCCCGACCGCAACTGATGAGCCAGAGCAATGGAATATATAGACAGCTACCTGGATACTGATCCGGATTCAAGTAGATATGCAAACAGGATTTCCAAGGCTGAAGTGGGTGGAGAGAGTATCAAAATAGTGAAACATGATCATAATGAGCACGGCATCTATAGTTATGAAGTCCCCAATGAACAGGAAGAAGAACCCACAGATGAGAAGACCAAAGTCAAGAAGATCTGGAATTCTGTTAGGCAAAAGAAAGGACCCTCTATTAATAAAACAAGACCCCAGTCCATGGTCATACTAGAGGATACCTATAAGGCCTCAAAAGAAAAAAACTCACCCTTCGGGGATGGGGTGAGAAAGCCAGCAAGCTCCACGATGCCTAATAATATAGATTTCAGAGGATTCGGAGAAAAGGCTGCTTCTGCCACCAAGAAGCAGGACAATTCAGCCAACTTGCAAAGAACATTCATCAAGGGGATTAAGAAAATGGGTAAAAATCAGAGGCTCTCTCGCTACTCAGGTTCAACAGCCATTGAGTTGAAAGACGTTGATGCCAATGAAACTAAATGTCTCAGGGATATTATTGTCCCCGGTGAAGAGGATTGTACTAACTACTATAAAATACGAGCTAGAAAGAGCAAGTCTTTGAATTTTGAAAACTTTATTAAGAGTCATTCAGATACAGAAGGGGAAAATGAAAAGAGGGGTACTGTGCCCCCACGGGAGAGCAGCAGAAGAAGAAGCTTTCAGCTCTTCAGATATACGAAAGAAAATTCATTAACTGGCAAAGGTGATTTAAGGCTTCCAGATGAAAGAGTTGAAACCAATTTCCAGAACTTAGGAAATAAAACTTACCATTCCACTTCTTCTTTGTACTTTGATATGAAATATGAAGAGACTTTTAGCCAGCAGAAGAAATCACTCACTGTATCCAGAGCCCCTTGCTTTCTGGGAGTTAAAAAGTTATTCACCAGTGTGGCCAAGGCAACTCGGAAGCTGCGAGGCTCCTCAAAATTGTTTTCACCTGATGAAGAAAGGTCTTGGAGGAGTTTCCAAAGCAGGAGACAGGATGCCACCTCCCAGAGAGAGGACTTGGATATGGAGAATGAGAGTGCAAGAGCTTCCACCAGGGTGGGAGCACATCTGCAGTCCCCAGATTTAGGCATATTCAATAACCAGGACTGTGAGAGCTCAGCATGTAAGAAGTTCGTGCAGCATTGCAAAGCCACAGAAATGTCTCAAGACCTTGGCTCCTCTGTCCTGGACAGCGAGCATGATTGCTATAACAAAACACTGGTTTCTTCCTTTGGGCCAGAACCGCCTGTCTCCCAGCTGCCAGAGCTCTCAGGTGACTCTGTCACTGTGCTAAATGCTAAAGAAACCTCTGAGGATGTAATTGAAACTCCACAGGCAGATTTGATGAAAGGACTTGAGGACTTGCTCCGTCCTGTGGAGCATGAACTCTTGGAGAGGCACTCTAAATTACAAATGGACAATGAGCCACAGTCTGAAGATCTTGCTGTGAAAAACCTGGATCCTGAGGAGCTGGGCCTTTCTCCAGCTGTTAGTGGTGACTTTTCTGTAGTGAACACCAAGGCGCTGATCCACCTGCCACAGGTGATTCTGCCTGAACTTGAAGCTGACGATGTGTCTTGTGCTTTGGTAGTTTCTGAAGAGGTGGCTTCATCTGCAGCTGCTGCAGAGGAGCTTTTGAAGACAGAAGTGGATATGCAGGACTCGAGAAATCCTGACTTGCCTTTGCAGGACATGTCTACAGATGATGTGAAGATTCAAGACCTGGTCAGTACTCCGGAGAAAGTACAGGATGTGGGCATAGACGGGCCACGTTCTGAAGATCTTCCTGTGAATAATCTGGATCCTGAGGAGCCGTGCCTTTCTCCAGCTGCTAATGATGATTTTTCTGTAGAGGCTCATTCCAAATGTGCTGCAGATGAACAACTGGTTGTCATGCCTGCTGATCTCAGCGTGAAGAAGCACAGAGAAAGTTCAGCTGTAGAACAAAACGCCGTAATGCTTCATGACAAAGAATACTTTCACTGCGATGACTACTGCCCTTCATTGTATATGACCTCCGGACTGTGCAAGGAAGGAGAGGTATTAGTAAACTTTTAATAATGTTTTCCATAAGACCATATTGTTACTATACTACTTACAAAGATGGTTTGCACCTGAAACCAGTTTTATATCTTGGAATTTTCAGTTAATTAGGCCATCATACAAATGATGACAGTACATACACAGCATTTATATCAGACTTAAAGGAGGCATCAGCCTGGTATTTGCCTGGGCTGTTAGTGTTAATCTCCAGAGCTGCTCCACTTATAACTCTTTGGCCATTTCATATCAGTGCCTTTAGAAGTGGGCTGTAACAGATGTTTATATATTTCTAGGCACTAACTTTAAATTTTCTTTCTCTCTGCATTTCGTTCATTTGAAGTAGAAATCTGCAACAAGAGTGCTTGCTTTTGGCAAATTTAGAGCTTTTAAGTCTGGAGTGAACAAGTGGCATTCCTCAATTGCACTATGGTCCTTGTGTTTTCTTACCTAAAAAAGTAGTATTGGTTTTTATTTTTATAGTAATATTAAAAAGTAGTATTTGATTTTTATTAGGTGATGCGTGTTACACTGCCACATCTAGAATATCACGCAAAGTCCTAGCATGTAGTGTAAGAACAGAAAAGAAATTTGGACCATATCTTGTAGAGCTCATCATTTCCCTGGAAGATCTAAATGAGCTCTCCCTTCTCCAAGCCTGTCAGAAGCTATGTGGCCTCAATGAATTGGTGCTGAGCCTGTGGCAGAAAGGCTTGCTTAGGAGCTGGGTGTATGATTTGAGTAAAATGCTTTCCTAATGTGACTACGTGCTGACTTAGGGTCTGGTCAGAGCTGCCTTGCATCTGCTTCTACACAAAATGACAGCAGTGGTAAATACCTAGCCCAAAGTGAAAGGTCGGTAATGGTGGTGGCTCTAATTACGGCGGTGTATTCCCATTTGTTAAAAACGAGTCTTTTAAAGCCGAATTATCATATTGTTGAAGTGGACATCACATTTTGGACTAGGTTCTGGGTATTACAGATCTGCATTGTTCAGCTTGGCGATGCTAGGAAGCCTCTTTAAGTCCCACGGATAGGGGAGTCATACATGAAAAGGCCTCCTGAAGTCAGCAGGAGATCACAGCAAAAAGATCCCATCAGCTGGTTTCCCTTGGTTGACTAGATGGGTGATCTTATAAAAGAAAAGTTAGTCAAACAGGACCTACCCCTCATTACCCTTACCCATGTTGGCTGGGACCAATGACTGCATTGTCCCCATTAACTTCAAGGATCATCTTCTCCGTAATTTTACCAGGCACTGATGTGAGACTGACAGGCCTGTAATTGCTAGGGTCTTCTTTCTTGGTACAACATTTGCCAGCTTCCAGTCTACTGGGACCTCTCCAGATTCCCAAGATCATTGAAAAATAATGGAGAGAGGTCCCGTGATGATGTCAGCCAGCTCTCTGAGCACCCTGGGATGGATCCCATCCAGACCCATGGGCTTGTATGGATCTAGGCAGAGCAGCAAATCCTGCACACGTTCAGGGTTGGTTGGGAGTTTGTCATTCCCACCGTCATGGTCCTCCAGCTCAGGGCACCTGGGGTCCCGAAGCCCAACATCAACATTGAAGATGGAGGCGAAGAAGGCATTAAATGTCTGCTTTGCCTATGTCCTTGTCTGTGAGGTGACCTTCCCCATCAAGTAGCAGACCTTTGTTTTCTTTGGTCCTCCTTTTTCTGTTCACATATTTTAAAAAAACCTTTTTATTGTCTTCCACAGACCTGGCCAGCTTCAACTCTAATTGGGCTTTGGCTGCATGATTTTTCTCCCTACAAACGTGAACAGTGTCCATGTATTCCTTCCACGTTGCCTGACCCTGCTTCCAGCAGCCATATACTTTCTTTTTCTGCCTAAGCTCCAGCAGAAGATCCCTGGTCAGCCGGGCTAGCCTTCTGCTCTGCCTGCTTGACTTTGGAAATGTTGAAATTGCCTGATCCTGTGCTTTTAGGAGGCAGTGACTTCCCTGTGGGATGGGTCTGGACGGCGTATCGGGCCCTCTGTCCCTTTTCAGAAGGGAGTTCCCCATGACAGTAACCCTTCTGTCTTTCTTGACAGACGATGTAGCAATGCGGGGGGTCGGTTGCCTTGCCTTAGGCACCCCTTCCAACTGGGACGGGCTTTTGTCTACATTGTTGTTTTGACTGTCATGTTCTAGAGCCTCATGCCTGTTATATGAGGGTAGATGGGAAGGTGAGGTGGGCAGGGAGAGGGCTCTCCTACCACCCCTAGCAGAAACCTGCTTCCGTTCTTCCCTTTGGCCTAGGTCCCCTCCTATTGCCTGGCGGGATGGGGGAACTTTTGTCTTCTGTGTAGCAGGAGACACTCGTGCTGTGGCAGGCTCGTGAGTCTGTCTCAGGGCGGGCAGAGTATGCCTCCACCAGTCGATTTCTCTCTCTGACTCTCTGATGCTCCTCAGCCTATTCACCTCCTCCCGAAGCTCCACCACCAGGCCAAGAAAGTCTTCAAGCACCCACAGCACACCTCCCAACACCGACAGGAGACTCGGGCACACCCTGCAGCCCAAGATCTAGATGGCCGTGTGTTTCCCTGAGCCCTCCAGCCGGGTAGCCACGTCGGTGACTGTGGCTGGAGAGGCTGCAGGAGATGCAGAGGCCATGGCCTTCTGCCTGGTGGATACCATGGCCGGGCTCTTCACAAGCAGGCCCTGGCGACTCTCTCGGCTGCCTTGAGTGGCCTTGATGCTGGAAAAAAAGCCCTGCCCGCCTCTATCCCCTGCTCTGCTGCAGAATGTGTCTGCCCCAGAGCTGATCGCCTCAGCGAGAGGCCTCAAGTCCCTTCAAGAAGCCTGTCCTTGGGCAGGGTTTGTGGGGGATTTGATACCTGCTTTGCGAATGGTACGAGGAACAGTTGCAAAATAGGCACCTGGCTTTTTCGTAAGACATCCATTTAGGATTTGTAGGAACTCAGGTTCCTCTGAAACATGGTTTTGGCTCATTGCCAGTAGAGAGGTTCCCCTTGGCCACCTCGGGGGCGCGCACGGGCACCGAGCACCGCAGAGCAGCTCCCTTCCTTTCCCCTCTTGCAGTGAAGGTGCAGGAGGCTTTTCTCTACAGTCTTACTCTGCCCTCTGCTGTCTATTTGTGAAATACGGCTTTCTCTTTTTAAGGAAGAAAACGCTTTATCTTTATCCCTAGGATTGTGATTTTTACCCGCAGGAGGTGTACAGTCTGCATCTGACTGCTGGCTGTTGTGTCCCCGTGGAGAAATGTCCCTGTTTGGTTCTGAGGTGCCATTTTCTGGGGGAATTAATGGTTGCTGGAAGAGTGCAAATGAGCTAACCCATCGGGATGCTGTGAAGGTGCTCCCCGCTGTGGAACATGCTGATGCCAAGCAGCCCATACTGGTGGTCTGTGAGCAGGGCTTTTTGGGGGTTTTGTGATTTCTGGGCAAGAAGCATTGCCATACATGAGGAAATGTGAAACTCGACCTGTGTGGTGAGTCTAACTGGAGGCAGAGGGTTCCTGGTTGTGCACACGCTAGAAGATGTGTTGGCAGTTTTGCCTTACTGATTGCTGAGGCACTGGGGGCAAACCCGGAGGTCTCGGATCCTCCCACAGCTTTGGTTTGCTTTCGAGCAGTTGCCACAAATGTCTTTTTGCAAGAGGAAGATGGAGCAACTTGCTTTTTCTGTGTTTGATGGGACACTGCAAGCTCTGTGCAGCAAGTTCCCGTCGTGACCTGTATCTGGAGATGGTCTGTCTCTCTGCCACAGAACATTTTGGGAGCTGCTGCAGAAGTGTGCCTGATGAGGTGACTTGTCTTCTCCCTCCCTGCTCTGTCGAGTGACACTAACCAGGAAAACGTGTATTTCTGAGGGGTATCTTCAGAGCTCTCCTTGTCTCCTGGTTATCGCCAGTAAGCTGCTGTCTCAGCCTACTGCTGCTAGCTGTGCTTATGAAAGAAACACAAATTAAGAAATAGTGCTTTACTTTCTAAATCCTCCTGCTGCCAAAGGAGCACTATACCCAAATCTGTAGCAAGGCATGATTTAGTTGCAGAATGCAGATTCTGTGTATTTATGGCCTTTAATACGGTTATGTCTGACAGTCATCTTATTTTTAGAAGAGACAAAAACTCTGAGCTGTTCAGATTTTCCTGTTTGTAATAGCCACGAGGTGCTAGCAAAATCTTGAATTGCAGCCTCTATTTAGTGCTATCTGTGGTGGGGTAGGGTGTTGTGGTGGTTTGTTTTTTATTTTTGGAAACATTTTTAGCAGTGTCAGGGAAAGGCAGGTCGAGTCTGCAAAGCCGATGGGATTTTCATGTATATAGAACCAGACGCTGAACACGTGAATAACTGCAATTTCCACGTTTTCTTAAAATACTTCTCGGGTCTTACCTTCCTCTAGCTCCCAGCCTTGCAGGCTATCTCCTGCCACCCTTGGTACCATCACAGTGCTGATATGAACAGGGACTCGTGGGCATTGCTGGCCTCTGTGCCAAAGGGACTGGGTCCAGAACTTCCCCGTGTGGGAGGTTTGCTTTGGCTTTCTCCTCCTCCCCCCGTTACCCAGTCAAGAGAAGCGTCCTGGAGCACTGGACATGGTGCAGAGAACGGGAAACGTCCCTGAGAGGAACGCAAAGGGCTGGCTGCCTTGGTGTGGCTGAAGCACGGCCCAAAGCTTATGGTGCGTGGTGGATTTGGTAGGGAGCAAGGCCAGGCCAGCTTCAGGCCGTCAGCTGCATCTCCCCAGCCACGAGGGAAGCCACCACGAGAAGACGTAGGGTGGGTAGGAAGTATCTGAAAATTAGCTGTGCTTGTAAGGAGGCTCGATTTTACAGATACTGGGTCGCACGAAGGTCAGTGCGTTTGTATTCGGCCTCTGTTAGCAGCTGAGCGATGCCAGGCTCAGCTTTTGAAGGAGGACAGCCTGCAGGTCTGAGCTGCTCTTTCGCAGTTACATATTCCACCAAAGTAATTAAAATCCACGTATACGAAGAGTCCTTTCTCCCTCCAGAAGGCTCCCTCTGCCCTGCCAATGACTCCAACAGCACAGCAATAACAGCTCTGGTTATTCACCTCCTGTCCTCTTCGTAGGCCATCTGCAGGCTTCTGCTTATGGAGCTGGGAGAAGACCTTAGATGACCTTTGGCAGTGCCTGGAAGGGAGAGTTTTGTTAAGGTTTTGGGGAATTAAGAAAGTGACATCCTGTTACTAATTTAATTCGCTCTTACAGATGTAATTCACAATAGATCTTATTGTCAGCAGGACTCCTGAGTTTTGCAGGAATTGTTCTTGATGGGTATCAGGATGGGTAACTTTATTTGAAAAATTTTAACTTTTATTTCTGTAGTAGGACAGGCAGATCCCATTACTGTTCTGCTGGACAGGCACGCAGATGAGCAGATTGTTCTCCTAAAGCTCACATTGCAAATTCATTGCTCTACTCATATGTGCTTTAAGTGGTGGAGGCGTTTCTGCAAAGCTCTCTCTCTCGTCCCGTTTTCCACTTCTTATTGCTGAGCATGGCCATACGTGGAGGTCAATGGTAGGTGATGGGGCACGGTTAGCTGTCATCTGGCAAAAAAACCCTGATGGGAAGAGTCTCTTGCTGCTCTAGGCCATCAAAGGGTGCCTCTCATAGCTCAGTTCAGGAATGCCAATTGAAGCAGCTCTCCAGCTGTCGAGTCCCCACCCTCCTATGGATGCACTAACGGGCCTGAATGACCCTGAGCAGCCTCACCTGGGGCCTCCACCCCACACACCCATGGCCTCAGGAGCCCATTTAAGTCCAGCCCTGGGTGCTTAGTCCTTCATTGAGCCCTGTAGCACGTGTGCTGGTCTCTAGCTCAGCCACAGTTGTGTCGTAGCCGTCCACAGACTGTGCTGGGCTCGATGCCCACCTGGGGCCTGACTTCCTAGCTCAACCTTGGAGCTGTCTCACTGGGGCTGATCTGCAAGCTGCCTACCTGCTTTGACACCACAAATGCACCTGATGATCTGGAGGCTGTCTGGCCCTGGTCACCCTCTGATGCCAATGTCTTCATCATGTGTTACTCTCAGAAGTGCCTTGGGGACTCAGTGCCACTGGAAATTATTGGGATTTGAGCACCGTGAGCTGTGTTTAAGGTAGGGAGAATTCGGGCAGCCCAGCACGGCAGCCAGCAGGACTTAATCTTTCAGTAAAAAAAACATGACAAGGGTACAGACCGCAGTGAGGAAAGTCTAAGGTGTGTGTCACTGTCTTGAAAAAAAATATGTATTATTAAATGTGTGCTTAATTCCGAGTTTAACACATTGGTAAAATTCTTCTCTGACCCTTTTCTTGCCAGATGGTGTCTTCTACTTCTCAACTGTCCGTGCAAATGCCTTCCAACAATGTCACTATGGAGAGATCTTCCTCCAGTTCCCTAATCCTGAACATCATCAGGGAGATGGAGGAGGCAGAGAGGATGTGTGGCAAACCACGCTGTGAGTAGCTTTGCAGTGCTTTTCCTCCTGACTTTGTCTGTTTATCCCATGCATCCTGCAGAGTCAGCCAAGGCTACAATGGGTTGAAAAAACTCACAAATGTGGCTTGTATCCACTCCTGTTACAACCGTAAAGCCTGGTGAGAAGGCTCTGATAGCCATGTGCTGTAGAGTTTCTTTTCTTTTTCCTTGTATTTTTAATGTCTTTGAACACACTGCCTATAACCTGGTTATGAGAAGATGAGCAGTTAGGTGCATAAAGTGTAAAAGCTGTTCACAAACTTCTGTGCAAGTTTTAATTTGGTACTTTCCTCTTAGCTTTCTGTCCTGTTACCAGGTTCTGTTGTGAGTGCTCGCCATTTGGAGGTGGCGAGTGGTGATGGATGCTGAGGTTGCAACTCAGGTGTAATGTTTGTTTTAAACAGCAAGAAATGATTTTTTTTTTCCTTCTGGGTACTCTTCCTGATCAGGTAGAGAATCTCGTGAGCCAAAGACTGAGATGAGCTCTCCTCTGCAGCACTTGATTAATGTAATTATAATTTGTCCTGCTCAAAACAACACTACAGAAAGCATGACAGTGTATTTGCTGGAAGCGTCTTGTTTTGGCAGGTAAACAGGCAGATAGCTGAATGGGTGACAAGATTTTGTGAACCTCTAGTTAAAAAGCCTGATAATTACAGTAAGAAAATTATTTCTTGAAGGGATACTGCTAACACTAAGAATCCTGTGCTTTAGCAATGGGCATGTACGGGAGCGCTGCCAGACTGTGCTGGCATGGCTTGGGAGCACCCAGGGGATCCAAGCAGTTAATGGATGGCGGCAGCACATCAGGGTGAAGGAGAGCTGGAAGGGAAAAGGCAAAGCGGCGCCTCTTTAATTGATGGCTCTTCTGTAGGGGCGCAGGCATCTTCAGCGTGCAGGGAGCAGCACAAGCATCTCTCCAAATGTGATCGTTACGGTGCTTGCACGTTGCTCCCGAGTGCTACTACGTCGGCGCCTTTCTTCTGGAGCCTGCCCGCAGCCTCTTGCTGTAACCGGCACTTGCACTGCAGCTTGATTTCCTGCGAGTCTAGAAAGTGAAACGCATGCTGCTAAAAATAACAGCAGGGTGCCTACGTCAGCATCGCATTTAGGAAATAGGTCTCAGCGCCATCTCTCTCCCAGCAACGCTGGAAGAAAATCAGGATTGCTGCCCACCCAGCCGTGTCAGGGCTGAGGCAGGGTCCCAGCTCTGCTCTGCTCTGTGCTGCTGTCCTGGGCCGATTGGAGTCCCCACCGATGTGATTTGGGAGCAGGGAGCTTGCAATAAGCATTCAGGGAGCATATGCTTTGGCCATGTGAGGTAAAGGTGACCCAAATTGCAGGAGCAGAGGTTCTGGGCTGTGCAGCACCACTTCCCCAAAGCCTGGCACCTTTTTTACCCTTTGCTGTCTGGTTTCAAAGCCCTCGGGACTGACAGAGTCTGGAACTCGTGCTGAGGTGAGAGGTGCATCCAGGGGATGGGAACACCCGTGGCAGCATATATGCACGTACATCTACCCCGTGCACTGCCCCGACCCCGTGTGCCTGCTGGCAGGAGCTGGTGCTGGCAGCTGCCGTGGGGGCTCCAGCTCCTTCCTCCCAGCCTCTGTCACCCCAGCTTTGGGGAGGGAAGGGTTTGAGGTCTAACCTTGCCAGATGTGGGAGGGAAAACCCAGTCTTGCACAGGATGACAGCTTTACCCCCAAAAAGAGAAGGATAGGATGGGGAGCTGAAAATCTGGGATGATTAGAAAAGTAGAGCTGACTTTTGAAAGGTGAATTGGCAGCCTCCCTCCACCATTTGCCTCTTCTGTACAAGCTGTTTTGTGCTTGGGTGTGTACCATCTGTAAGGCCAAGCTGGGATTTGGTGTAAATGGTATAAATTGCTTAAGGCTAGATCAGGATTGCATCTGTAAAGGATTGGCCTGAAATATTTAGGATGAGAAGCAGGCATTGCTTTGAAAAACAGCTTTTATGGACTGTTGTATTGTTGTTTTCTGCATGGATTCAAGAAGCTGTATCTTTTTCAAGATATTGCATCATGTGGACCATGAGGGTTGTAAAGCTGGGATTTCTGCAGAGGTACTGTTAGCAGTTATGACCCAAAGAACGATTTCATTTCTAATATCAGTGCATGAAGATGAGGCTCTTGTGCTGCCGGGAGAGCATTCTGGCTTCACACCCAGCCTGTCTGACCCCACCTGCTTACACCACCTCTTAATTTGGCTCTCAGCTCTTAGTTTGTGCCTGCATTTTTGTAGTATCCAAGCTGCACTATTTTTCTTGTATCCCAAGAGCACTGAATAAAGCACCTAAATATACTCTCTGCTCTCTTTTTCTAAAGAAGAGGTTGAATGAGTCTCTTGCAAACAATTTTGTTTCTTTCATTTAAAAGAACAGCCTCCGCCCCCAGCCTGAGCTAAAGCACACCATTTATCTTTTGTCATTTTTTTTTCCCCCTGTAGATTTGAAACGGAGAATTGCTGAGAATGATCTGCCTTCAAAGACTGTGGAGGTGTACAAGAACAGTAACAGTAGACGTCGATGGACCTTATTCAGGCATGGAACTGTGAAGCTGAAGTATTCGGTAAGGTGTTCGGTGAACTATGCCTCTGCCTGCTTCAGGGATGTTATATTCCTACTGCATCTTTAACCTTGGAAACTAACAACCTGCTTTACTTACAGCTTCCTGAATCTGCGGCTCCTTTAGCCACTGCTGAGCTTTTTTTTTCTTTCTATTAGAGTTGTATTATAGCAATATTAATATTTATTATATGCATATATAATATTTATAGAATATTTATTATAGCAATACAAGAATAAGTGCATTAACCTTTCCCACCAGCCCAGCTTCCCTCCAATATAAATCAGAGGCTTTATAGTCTGATGGAGGCACTGGGCCTCCCATTTCTTTGGCTGAATGTTTCTTGCAGGTAGAGGGAACTGTGATGTTTCAAAACTGCTTACAGGTTTGCTCTGTGGTCTTGACGATATATTTTCCCCCCTTTTTTGCCACATGTCCTTTGGATTTGTTACTGCTCCCAGCACCGTCTCTGTGACAGATTGACTTGACTGATTCTTTTCAAAGTGTTTTGCAAATACAGGCACAATCCAGTTCCAGTTTGTTCTTTTTTTTTTTGTTAATGTTGCTGCTGGCTGAGGAAGTAAAAGCTGTTGTGGGCCTGGGGATGTCCATGTCTTTCTCTGGAAGCTGAAAAAATTTAGGAAAAAATAGCTAAAAGTTATCAAACAAATGTTTAAAACAAAAGTTTTACGTCCTTCCTTGTTTCTGTGTGGGGTTTTTTATTGGTGCCATGCTGAATGTTTGACGTGTGGAGGCCTTGGTTATTCCATGGGAATTGATATCACCTGGTGCCATTGGGATTGGTATCACTTGTGTCTGACTTCACTGGTTCCGAACATATAAAACTCTGGATAGTGCAAACCAACAGAATTGCTGTCTGGCATCTAGTGTGATGCACGGGAAGTTCTCTAGGGAATAGGGCCGAAAAGGTTTCACCTTTGTTGTTCCTCTAGGCAGTGAGACCGAATTCTCTGGCCTGCTTGTGTTGGGTGTTTCATGGCTTCCAGGGATTGGAATATCTCTGGTATTTCAGTCCTTTGTGGCTTTCTGGAATGCCACCTTACATCACCTCTCCTGATTTTAGTGGGCTGGGACACAAGGTAGAGGGCAACAGACAAGGAGTTCCTTCCTTCCTTTTCTCTCACTTCTGTTTGGGTCCTACCCTGTTTCTGAAACACAACTGCTTCTTTCAACTTGAAAATGTTATTCTGGTTATAGGGCTGTTGAACATCTAAGCTCCTGGAAGGTAAAATGATCCAAATCTAGTAGGGCTATTTGTCCTCTGGGGCAGAATAAAGAAGGGCAACAATAATATTCCTGTGGAGTTGCTGTTACAGCAATAAATTGCCCTGCCAGCCCTATCTTGGAATATCATCAGGTGTGTTACAAACATTTCTGTGTTCAGGATCCAGTGCTAACTAGTGCATGGGTATGTTTGGTCTACCTTAAAAGCATCTAACACTTTCTTAATCTGTTAAGAGGAGCCGTATGTTTTGCAGCCTTTGTAGTCATCCTTCAGGACCTGCTCAGAAACCAATGTGCTATTCTGCTTTGTCACAATATTGCTACCACCAGACATATTTCTGACAGAGAATTGAGCCTGACATTAGAGCATCCTTTCAAATGCAGCTGAGAATTAAAACTCCAACACTCCAAAAACACTGCTGAAGTTTGGGAAGGGGTAGCTATGAAACTTGACCTCTCTGGTGGTGATGCCTAGGGAGGATGTGGAGCTGGAAAGGGAAAGGAGCTTCTCATGAGCACAAAGACCTGCGTGTGATGTTTGGCTCAGACACAGGTGTGCTGAAGACCCCATGCATCGCCGGGACAGAGAATTGGTTTTGGGATGGGATGAGTTCAGGGACGTGTTTGGTGCTGCCATTAGGCAGCTTGTTGCTCAGCCTGAATTACAGTGGACAGGCAGGTATGCGACCTGTGCTGGGGTTTATTAATCAGAGTTACCGTGTTAAGCACTGCTGGAGTAGGATGTATAAACGTGGTTACAATAGCAGTGCTGGAAAATTCATCCTTCGCCTCTGCCCCACGTTGAGGGAAGATGCATGGGTCTGTAAATCAGCACTTTGCCAGAAAGAAATTTCTTCTTTGCCAAGATTTATGAACTTGAGATAAGATTTGTGAGCTTGGGTATCTCTTACTGGGTGCATTCATTGACAGCTGAAGACCAGTCAGGTGGCAGAGCTAGTACAGAAAGATTTATACTTCCAAACCAGAGGCCAGGCTTCTGGAGAAACTGCTCCATTTCCATTTTGGTTGGGAAAGTGTGAGGTGGAGACAGCAAGAGGGGACTGCCAAAGCATTAGGCTTGTCTTAGGGGCATCAGTTCCATCTTGGTCCTTGGAGAGGTGCGGGTGGGTGTGCAAAAAGAGCAATGGTATCACTACATGTCATGCAAAATGCAAAGTTGTTGTTGAGCAGCTGCCTTGTGAACCCCAGGAGGCTGCTTATTCCTTGCTCTGCGTAAAGCCCAGGTTTTGGTTTAAAAAAAAAAATAAATGTATAAATATATTTTCATTTCTCTTCTAATTTCAAGCAGCAGGGGGAACAAAAAAAAAATAAATGAGGTCAAACCGAGTCTTTTAAAAGCTTTTGGTATTTGTTAAGTAAGCTTTTTTGCTTTATATGCAAATCATTTTGGTTTGGTGCTCTGGTTGCTTGGAGCCTTTGCTTTGCTGGGAGCACTTTGACACAATCAAGACCAACTTGCGTGGGACCTCGAGGTGCCCAAGAAATCCGCAGGCTTTGCTGCAGCAGGAAACAGAAATGCCAAAAAGTACTCCCCAAAGGCTCTCCTAGCTCTGACTGGGCCCTTAGCATCTATCACACCTTGGTGATTAGCAAAGCCGATGGCAAACATTCATGTTCTCTGCTGCTTTTCCCCTTTGTGTCTTGTGAGCTCTTGTACAAGGGACTGAAGCCCGAATTTATGTGCTGGAGGAAGCCAGGGTGCGATTACTTCAAATGGAAACTTTGCATCAGAGGCAGCTTCTTTGACATCCCCTGTGCTAACGAGAGGCTGTGCCTGTCCTGTCCTTAGTGCTCTCCCCAAATCATCAGCTGTTTTTAGAGGCTGCCTTTGCAGTGATGGTGGATGTGTGAGCCACATGCACCAGTCCTTAGCTGCCCAAAGCTAATTCCCCGCAGGCACGTTTGTGAGGAATGGGAAGTCCAAGCAATGTGCAGCCTGCAAGAGGTCGGAGCGAAGGGAAGGTTGGTTTGGGTTCTCGTGCTCACCCTGTGCTGCAATGAGCAGGGAATGCTGCTTGGTATTCTGCTCCAGCTCTTCTGCTTTCTATTTTTATCTCCTGGCATAATGCTGAGTGAGCAATTTGCTCGGTGGGGTTATTATTATTATTTTTTTTCTCTCTTTGAAATGTGTCCTGCACCATGTTTCTCTTGGCTCGCTACTTTGGGGAGGAAGGGGTTGTGGAAGGGATCACAGACTGCTGCATTCTGCTACGTGAGCTGGATGTAATCGTAGTCATTTCTCAGCCCTTCTGTCCACATGAATAGGCTGATGGAAAAGCACAGTCCCGTGGCTTTCCGGGTGCTAATTAGTTGAAATATCAGCGCGTTGATGATGAGAGGTTTATATGCACATAAGGAGGGCTGCCAGGAAAATGAGCCTCTTTTAATTTCCCTTCCTTCATTTTAAACATTCAGTACTTCTGCTGCCAGGGTGTGCCTGATCTGTGTGTTTTCTGGGGTTTGTTTTATATCACGATAAACCTATTCTACTGCTGTACTTAACGGTGCTCTGAAATCTTTGGTTTTTACGTTACTTTCCTCCGGACCAAGCTGGCAGGTCCCGGTGCCCCTGTCCCGGAGCCTTGTGACTCGCTAATGCTGGCGAATGCTTCCCGTGTGTCTGCATGAAGCACGCCCAGCAAGGAGCTCTGCATTAGTGGGATTTGCAGCAGTGGGCAGCCTTTTAAGCACCTGAGGTCTGCTGCATCTAATCCGATTTAGTGTTTGAACTGCTCAGAGCCCAGGGAGCATTGAAGGCATGTGGATAGTCTCCGGTGAACTCTAGGTCATCCCTAAACCCGTTTGCGCCCACTTTGTGTGGATGCTCCGTGCTTTGGACTTGCTTTCTGGTGGCTGTGATGGAATATTAGTGCAAAACACTCTTTAAGGTTCCTGCTACCAGAAGTGAGCAGTTTTATAAACGTACCATGCTCTGGTTATTTTGTCTTGCTTAGAAGAAACGTGCTTGTTCAGAGCTGTGTTTCTGTACAGAGCAGCGCTGGGGGAACCACGAGCCTTGCTTCCTTCGGTGTTACCCCAACAGCACCATAGCCCAGGTGTTTCCCCACCACACCTGGGGACAGACAGGGCTTGGGTGACGAATCCTTACAGGAAGGAGAAGCTTGAAAAGCAGAAACACTGAGCTTTGGGTCGTGGGTTTCTGTTCTAGGTAGCACAAGAGAGAGACTTGAAGTTCCAGGCTTAGAAGAGGTCTCTCAGCTGGTCAGAGGTTACACGTAAGCCTGTTCAGAAGAATCTCATCTTCCAGTTTGTGATAGTCTTTAGAGTGCAAATGAACCTCGGGGAGTTTTCTGTGCCACTGCAGGTGGTAGGTGCTGCATCCTACGTGGTTTTAAATGTGTGTAGAACAGTGACTGTACGTAATCGCCTCTTCTATAGTTCAAATTAAGCTCTCTACCCTCATCTTAAATATCAGCCTGGAATTGATCCTTTTCTCCATTGCTCGGTAGTTCCACCTTGATTGCTCTGCTTCAACTCGTTACTCAGCTCTGTCACCGTCTTTCACTCTGGGATATGGTTTATACAAAAGAAGCTTTAAAGTAAACTCAATTAGTGTTGCATTGCTAAAACCTTAATGACATTTCGCTTGGCAGCTCAGTGTGGTTTGCCCTTCCCCAGTGCGCTATGTTCTCAATAAACCAAAGTCCGTGGTAGGTGTAGCATGAAAAATCTCTGAGTAAATATTGGAACAAATGCTTCTGTGGTGCTTCCTAAGC